TATCTAAAAAAAAAAAAAAAAAAAAGTAACTCCGAAGAGACATGAGATTGATTATGATTAGTAATTCCTTCTATAATCGTACAAAGAGATTGACAAAGATTAGTAAAGAGTGAGTACCTTGAAAATCTGGAACATTACATCGGGAGAGAAGAAGATACACACGGATTGAAAAATGAAAAAATGGTTCGGAAGGACGAGGAGCGCAGTATAAAGGAAGAGAGAAAAGCAAAAGGGCAAAAGGAAAGCACACAAAGAACACAGAAATCCAAAGAGAAGAGAAAAGGTTCGCGGCTTCAATGGAATCTCCGAAACAAGCCCCTACCGCCCCTACCGCCCCCGCTCTCTGAATCCTTGAGAATTACAACGGAGAGAGAGAGAGAGAGAGAGAGAGAGAGAGAGAGAGAGAGAGAGAGGTTCTTCTAGAGAGAGAAACTGAGATAGGGGAAGTGAGAGAAATGGAAAAAGAGGGAATATATAGGATTTGACAGTCACGCTTCAACCCCTCTGTCAAAAATAAATATAATAATAATAATATTAATAATAATTTATTTCTATTTCTATCCATTTATAGAGAAATTATTCCCCACATAATGCCAATTTTATATAATTTTTAAAAATTTTTAAAAATTAACAATTTACCAATTTGAGTGTAACTAATTAATTTAATAGAAATTACTTATTATTTGTCGAAAATATCAAATATTTTATTTTTTGAATAAAAGCAAAATTTTTAATTAATTATCAATTTTATGAAATAATTTTTCTTATATGTATTTAGTGGTTATTAGGGTATATTTAAACTTTAAAATTTGCATTTAATTTATATTAGGAGGGATTTATATTGTTGTGACTAAGTTGGATAATTTTTTTTTTCTTATTAAAATTATTTTTAAAGCTGTCGTCACTAATCTCAATTAGTTACGTCTTTTTTTTTTTAATTAATTATTTTTGCAATTTGATTCGGGGAAGGGGCTACAATCCGGTGTGTTCTGGCTCAGATGCAAAATCTAGGGTTGATCGGGGATTGTTGCCGGATCTGTCCACGTGGAAATTCAAATCTCTGATGGACCAGATCATGGGGCCCACTGGAAAAAGAGTTTCAAAAGCACTTTAAAATTATTTTATTCCAATTTGTAATATATTTTCCTAAATTGATACACGTCTTGAAAAATTTAATAATATCTTTAAATTTTTTAAAATAATTCAAAAGTCGTTAATAATTTATTTAAAAAATAATATTAAACTTTTTTAAAATATATTAAGTTTTTTTTTTTTTAATATTGAAGAGTATTTTTTAAATAAAATATTAACCCATTTACCTTTAAAAGTATTTTTCACTTTTTTTTTTTTTAAGTCAATTTTATATAAATATAAACAAATTCATTTATGTAAATATATCTAACATAAAATTGTCGATAAAGAAAATGTTACTAATCATTTATTTAATTATATAACATAATATTTATAAAGTTCAATATTTCAGATAATATTATTCTAAAAAGCTATTAACTTTCCGAAAAATTAAATTAAATAGATTATTTAATTAATTAATTTTACAAATATTATGCCTTTAATTGGCCATGATAACATATTTGTTTTTACATTTTTACAAATAAAAATGGACCTATCAAATTTAGGTTTATATAATTTGCATAATATAAAATTTATAGTAAAATAATAAATTTAAAATAGAATAATAATTTTCTTATAAATTAGTAACTAGTGAATAATTTATTTTTATACCATTGTTAATCCCAACGCCTTTTTTAATAATTATTTTGCAAGGTAATTATTTTTTAATATAAAGGCAAATAAAATGAATTAATTATTAATTCAATAAATTTAAATTTTATTTTTAATAGAATCTTGACCTATTCTAGGAGATATTCAAATCACTTAAAAAATAAAATAAAATTTATAATTTACCATATATTAAATTAACTTTTTTATTACAAAAAAAAAAATCAAATGAATAAAACAAAGAGATTAGAGTCTAATATTTTATTTAAAAATAATTAATTCATCTGTTTGACCAAATAATCAACTACCGGTTTAAATCCATTACAAAATAAAATAATGTTTTTTCAATTATAAATAATTATGTGGATTAGACTTAGATTATAACGGCACTAATCATGCTTATCATCTACCTAATTAGTAATTTTCTGCAAATTTATTGGGTGTTGATGATTCGATTATAGATTCCTCGGCAACCAGAAAACGCCATTTTTCTCCTGATAAAAGAATTAATATTGACTATAAAATATTAGTTGGATTATATTTAATCCTTATTATAAGAAATTAATCATATAATTAAATGCAATTATGGTGTACTCTAAAATTACAACATAATTATATAATAATCTCTCAACTAAAATAAATAAATAAATAATATATCAACCTTACCGAAATTACTTCGGTAACAAAAAAAAAAAATTAATTGAATGAAATGAACTTTAACAGTTAAATATCTAACATTAATTTTAGTATAAAACTAAAAAGAAAATAGATAAACATTAAAGCTATTTACAGCTATGAATGAACTACACATAATTTAAACTATTATACCCATGTCCATAAATTGCTACTAAGACTATGAACGAATAATTTAGGGTGGACTTGTACCTTTGGTCGTGAACAACTACCACAACAACAAACAACCAACATTGTTATACCCAAGGCCACAAATAGACTGCCTCGTATTTACTACCCGTGACTTTAAATATAGTACCAATGACATCTACAATGAACATTGAACAACTTGTACTTGAGGAACCACGACCAATAGAGACTTATCTTAGGAAATATATAGTTGGATCAAATTTTTTTAATCCATGTTGAGTCTTCAAAAACATGCCTACAAAAAGTAAATGATTTGTTCTTTTAATTTACATTTTTTTAATCTAAATCTTCCGTCACAAATTTAGCATAAAACTTCACTTAAATAAAATCATGATTCTTAAATGTTATCATAATTTTGTATAAAATGATTTTAATTGGGTATAGAATTTATAATAAAATTTTGCAACCATAAGAAAAAAAGACTATTATTTTTTAGAAGGATAAAGATTAGAACAAAAATTTAATATACAAGGATAAATTTGAACATTATTTTCTTTTATAAAAAAAATAAAATGAACAATGAAAAATAAAATAAAAACTTCATCCACCAATAACTTAAGATTCACATTATTTTGCATGTGAAATTGGAATGAAAATAATAATGATAATTAAATAGAGAATAAATTCTAACTGCTAAATAAAGAGGAAAAATAAATAACAAAGAGAATAAAGTCTTAAAAATAAAAATAAAAATATTATTCGTTTCAAAGATCAACTATCGTTTATTTTAGTTTATATAAAATAGGAAAAGGACGACCGAAGAAAATCAACA